CAGTTTTAGACTTGTGGCTTTGATTTGTTTGTTTTTGCTTTTACTTCTACACTACACTGGTTTGCCAAGTAGCGTTTGCACTGGGCAATATTACCATAAGGACATGGAAAATTTTTGTGGATGTAATATCTATTATAGTTTGCACTACTATTGCTCTGTAGTTCTCAGTGATTTAAATATGACCAAGCTTTGTGTACTTTGTCACGAAAAGTGATTTTTTTCCAGGTGACTATATTGGTGAGTATCAAAATAAGAATTTGTGATATATTTCTGTTGATTCACTTTGAATTAAACCTCATGCTTGCTAGGCAGATGCTCTACCACTTGAAGCACACCACTAGCCTGTTTTGCTTTGAATGTTTTTGAAATAGGGTCTTGCTTTATGCCTACTCAAACCTGGACTGCCATCCTCTATTTATGCTTCCCCATGTAGCTGGGATGACAGGCACATACTACCATGCTTAGTCTTTGGTTAAGATGGGGTCTTGTGAAATTTTTTGCCCAAGCTAGCCTTGAACCTTGATCTCCCAGGCTTTGACTCCACTAGGATTATAAGCTTGAGCCACCTTGCCTAGCAGTGGCTATCTTTTAACTCTTTATTATGGAAAATTTTAATCATATACAAAACCACTATTTTTATAGCTTTATTTAAATAAAAATACATTTTTACATGTGTATAAGAGTGTATATAAGAAACTTTAGGCTTATATAGAAATTGTGAGGATAATGTATGGAATTTCTATACATCCTTTTTTTGTTTTTTTACTCTGTAGCCCAGAATGGCCTCAAACTTTCAATCTTTTTCCTGTCTCCACTTCCCAAGTGCTAGAATTACAAACAAGTGCTACCAACCCCAGCTTTCTGTGCATTCCTTACTAATTCAGCAGTTTGCTTTGTGCCCTATTTGCTTCATTTTTTTTTCTATTTTCTTTTCCTAAGAAAAAGGAGAATACATTGTGCTCTCTTACTTCTCAATATTTCTTTATTTCCTAAGCATTAGGACATTATCTTATATCAGCACAACACATTTACAAAGTCAGGAAATTTAGCATTGATACACCACTGTTAGATGATTCCTAGTCTATGTTTTGTCAGTTATCCCAATTATGTTCTTTGTCTCTTTTTCCCTATCTTAAACCAATTTAAGCATGTACCTCGCATTTAGTTATCAATCCTTTAAACTGTAACCATTTCTCAGCCTTTCCTTGTGCTTGTTTACTTATGATATTTCTAAAATATATAAGCCAATTACTTTGGTGTTTTGCTTAATTAGATTCAGGTTACCCATTTTGGTAGGAATCCCACTGAGTTGTATTGTGTCCTACTGAGTGTATCTTTTTTCCCAGATGATATAGGTATAATGAGTAGGTTAAGAAATCTGCTAGATTTCTCCACTATCGGATTATTCTTTTTTTTACTTTGCAAGTAATCTTTATGTAGTTTTTTATATAATTTGAAGCTGCAAATACTCTGTCCTCATGAAACTTTCACCTGCTAATTTTAACTCCCATTATTCCTTCTACATTTAGTAGTGATGTTCTGTTGTAAGAAAGACTTTCCCTTCCCCATTTATTTATGTTTATTTGCTAATAGTTGTATAGACCCACAGATTCTTACTTTATTCAGTGGGTTATACTCTTATTTCTATGGCCGATTGTGCTACGCTTTCCCAGATTTGATCAGGAGAGCTCCTTCAAGTGAGCTATTGTGCGTGTGTCCCTTTGACATATGCCCATCATCCTCTGATGCACTTCCTTTTTTGAGCACCTCCTTCATTTTTAGCACAAAAAGATGTTCTGAGCTTGTCTTCTGTATTTCCTGTTCCAGCTATGAAATGAACCATTCCTCCAAGGAGTGCTAAATTTTAGTTAGAGTAGTTTTTAGAAACCAAGATTTGAGCTAGAACATAATGCTACACACCGCCCCCCCCCCCACTTGTGAATTCTGACAAGCTCCCATTCTCATCCAGCATCACAGCATACATTGTAGTCTTTCCCTTTCCATATTTGGAATTCTCCTCAACAGTGAGAAAACATGGTTCCCTGTATTTTTTCATTTATTTTCTGATTTGTTTAAGCCTAGAGTATTCAAAAGGTGGTTTTAGAACTGAACAATGCCTCTGCAAAAGTTCAATATTTGTTTATAATTATCTTCTTCCATTCCTTTCTTTCTTTTTTCCTTTTTTTTAAAGTAAAATTTACACATTGAAGTATATAATTTTAAGTTTATAATGTGATGAGTTTTGGTAATGCATGTCAACTTGTGCACCACACCCTATCAATACATAGAGTGTATCTATGCCAGCCCAACAAACAACCACCATTTTTTTCCACTTTGGATTAGTTTTGTCTCTTTCTTTAGATTTCTTTAGTATGCGTTCTTTTATCTTGCTTCTCTTCCTCTGCATTACATATGCAAGATTCATCTGTGTGTCTGAATGTTTAGTGGTTCTCTCTTTTTTATTACTAACTGGTATTTCCCTGTATGACTATGCTAACTTCCTATTGATAGACAATTGGATTGTTTCTACTTTTAGATTTGTGATTGTCTTCTTTATATGTCAGCTCAGGCTACAACCCCCATGTTGTATTCAGTCATACACTAATCTAGACAATGCTATAAAGGTATTTGTAATTGTGATTAAACTCTACAACCAGTTAACATTTTAGAAGGGAGATTATTTACAATAGCCTGTGTGAACTCATTCAGTGAGTTAAGAGGCCAGAAGCATGAGCTAAGCTTCCATAAAGAAGAAAAAAATTCTTCCTGCGGACAGCAGCTGCTGCCAATGCCCTCTGGACCTGTCTAGTATCTCCTGCAGTTGTGAGAGCAAACTCTTTGCAATAAATCTCTTTATCTCCTACTGGTTCTGTTTCTGTGGTTGAGCCCTGACTAGTAAGATAGGTGTTGTGAAAAAACCTGCTATGAACATTCTTCTACACAGTTTTGGTGGCCATTTGTAATTTTTACTGGGTAAATACCTAAGAATGGAATTTCTAGATCAAAGGATGAATGTTTGATTCTCTAAGAAGTTACCAAACTGTTTTTCAAAATTATTGTGCCATTTTATATTCTACCAGCAATTGTGATGAGATTTCTACTTGTTTTACATTCTTACCAACCTTTAGTGTGATTTTTTATTTTGCTATTCTTTTGGGTCTATGTGGTTACTTACTGTGGTTTAATGTGTATTTCTCTGAGGGCAGTATTTTATGTGATTATTAGACAATTGTGTTTCTTCCTGTGTGAGATGTATGTTCAAGATTTCTGCCCATTTCTCTAAATTGGGTTGTTTGTGTTTTTATTAACTCGTTGAGATTTCTTCAGATATTCTGGATATAAGTCCTTTGACAAATAATTGTTTTGTGAATATTTTCCCTCCAGTCCTGCCTAAGCATTTTCCTAATGGTGTTTTAATGACTAAAACTATTTAATTTTGATGCTGTGTCATTTTTTGTTTCACTTAGTAAATTTTATGGTCACTGCTTTCTTTATCTGGTCTAAGAAATCTTTCCCTATTCACACTTTTCTTCTGAAAATTTTATAATTTTATGTTTATGTCTGTGATCTATCTCCAGATAGTTTTTATTCATTGATGTGAGGTAGCAGTTGAGGTCTGTATTTTTTCCTAGGAATTTCTACCTGGTCGAGTGACATTTGTTGGAAAATTTGTCCTTTCCTGGATGGATTATTATAGTACCTTTATTGACAATCATTTGGCCATTGTGGGTTCTGTTTAGTTCCACGCATCTATTGATCTTTCCTTAGACCAAGACCTAGTAAGTGTTGACAGAAATAGTTAAGTCCTCTAATTATCTTTTTTCAAAGTTTTTTTTTTGTTTATTCTAGTTTCTTTGCATTTCCATGTAAATTTTACAATTTTTAAAAAATGTTCATTGGCATACTTGTAGTCCCAGCTACTTATGAGGCTATGAAGTATGAAGATTCCTTGAGTCTCCTCCCACCCCCCCCACACCCCCCCCACAAGGAGTTTGGACAGCCTAGACAATGTAATAAGATTCTGGATTTAAAAAAAGCTGTGTGTGGTGGCACATGCTGTTATTCCAGCTACGCAGGTGAAAGCAGTAAGATTATGGTTCAAGGCCAGCCCAGGCAAAAATTAGCAAGAGTCTGTCTCAAAAACAAGCTGGGTGTGGTGGTACAGAGCTATAAACTCAGCTGCTTGGGAGGTGGAAGTAGGAGGATTGAGGTTCAAGGCCTGGGCAAAAGTGCAAGACCTTATCTGAAAAACAAAATAAAACAAACAAACAAACAAAGCAAAAAAGATCTGATGAGTGGCTCAAGTGGTAGAACATTTGCCTAGTAAACTCAAGACCCTGGCTTCAATCCCCAGTAACACACAGACACAAAAGTCTTCTAGGATTGTCATCAGCATTAAGGTGACTCTGTATAGCAAAACTTTGTGTTGTAATGATAGTGAGTTTTGTACTCATTCACTTCGGTCTTCTTTTTCTCAGTAGTGTCATCTATATCTGCTGAGCTTACTCGTGGTGTTACATGGTTTTGTCATTGTGTTTATTGGATTTTTAACTTTTTTTCTCCCTCCGTTCACTGTCAGTGTACAAATACACCTTTGATCTTATAAGCTGAGCTTTTTTCTCTCTTTTTAAATTCTTCCCTCTTCCCAACTTTTCTTTCATTGATTCCTTAATATTTGCTATATACACAATTATGACTTCTGAAAATGGGAACAGTTTTACTTTTGTTTGCTTGCTTGCTTGTTCTGGGGATTGAATCCAGGGCCTTGTGTGTCATCCTAAACATGCAGTCTGTCACAGAGCCACAGTCTCAGTCTGCTTATCTTTTTACATTCTTTATGCTTTTGTTTGTTCTTTGTGCTTTATTGCATTGGCGGGAGGGGTGGATCTGAGCTCAGTGCTGAATAGAAGGGATGAGAACTCTAGTCCTTTCCTTGTTGCTGAGGTAGAATGCTTTCACCATTGAATCTGAAATGAATAGTAACTGGTTGTTTGTTTCAGGTACTGAACAGTACAGTGAATATACAGGCTATGCCGAAACATATCGTTGGGCTCGGAGCCATGAAGATGGGAGTGAAAGGTGAATTTTTTTCTGACTTTAGTATCATGTGGCTAAAAGTGAAAGACTGTGCACCAGCTTGACCCCAGTGCACTCTCTATCCCTTCTATTCTGGTTCCAGCAATTGAACTTTCTTTTTAAATTCAGTATTGACAGTCAGAACAGAATTAGCCATCTCCATATAACAAAGGGAAGAACAGAGAAGATAAATATCAAAAGTCTTAAGCAAAAACACGCAGGGCAGAGTTCTATAGTTCTTTACCTCTAAGCTGACAATGGGAGCAGTGGATGTTCATTTCCAAGTCCAAACATAATTAGAATCCATTCTACGTAGAGCTTAAGTCGTTGGACCAGCTTATTCAGTTTCCTTAATTTCTGTTAGGTTAGCTTGCATGGGACCTGTGCAGGAACAGTTTGCCTAATGCCTCAAACCAGTCTGACAGCAGGACTTGTAGTGATGTTGTTACATTCTTCTTGAAATAAATTCCACACTCTGACACTCTTGCTTCCCCATAAATGGTGTAGTTTACCAAAAGTAATGTTTTTTGTAGAAGTGTTGCTGGAAAGCTTTTGGGGAAAGGAGATCTTACAGAGAAAGCCATCATGGCAGAATCTGCAATTTCCTGTGTAGCCATATCTGTGCCACACACTTACTCTTACGTCTCAAGTCTAGTCTCTGATTTCTTTTATTTTATTTAAAGGATGCTGTTATAATAAACAGTTACCTGTATAAATGTATATTAATAATTATTTATAAATTAATATGAAGATTTCTATTGTTATTCTTTAACATGAAAAGTTACTTGACTATCAATATAAGCAAGTCTATGAAGATGAACTACTTGAAATTTTATACATTTCCAAAATTATCATTTCAGATAGTCCTTCTTACTTCCACAGGCAACATATTATTGTCTGCTTGATGTCTTTGTCTTTTTAAAAATAGTTTCTTTCAGTTGAACACAGTAGATAGAATGTTGTACTAAATTGTTACACGTTGTTGATAACACTTGACTTCTTGGGATTATTTCCTGGACAATATGTAGTGATGTTATATACTAGTGATTTAGAGCAGATCTCTCAAAGCAAAGGAGGAATGGGGTACAAATGCCATGTTTATGGCATTAGAAGAAAATAAAGACCTAAATTCCTTTTGTTTACTCCCAAATCCTTTAACCTCTGAGGCTCACTGTGAATGATGCACTTGCTTACAATATGTCATCTTATGTTGTCTCTTGATTTTTCATTTTACTCCTTAATGCTTAACAGTGCACAATATGTATACCCTTGAATCTAAAAGTAAAATGATTTTGTGCCCTCCTGCTTTGCTGAGACTTGCAGTCATAGTTTGTTTTTAATATTTTAACACTGTCAAAGTGTCAGCAACTTGACCCCTGTGAGGGTTCTATTTGAGGGACTCTACCTGTTTTTTATCTTTCTCCCCTTTCTGCCCCATTCCAGAGATGACTGGCAGCGGCGCTGCACTGAGATTGTTGCCATTGATGCACTTCACTTCAGACGCTACCTCGATCAGTTTGTGCCTGAGAAAATGAGACGTGAGCTTAACAAGGCCAGTAACCTTATTTCTGAGTTCATCTGGCAGCTGTCATCTATTTACTGCCATTTTATTAATGCTGAAATTAATGCTTTCTGGTAATTCTTACAGTGTCAGTACATCTTCCCACAGCTCTCCTGATTTAATGGTTCTGTCAGCTTGTACAAGATGTACTTTCCATTTCGTAATTATTTGATTACTGCTGAGGTTGCCAGATAGACTATTGCTAGATGTTAAACCCCACACATGCACTTATCTCATCAAGTACTTTTAGCTGTTTTGGAACATTATCATTGTAAATCCATATAGAAATGAATGAGTCCTGAACATTTTTTCCCCATAGCTGCCCAATGACGTTTTCTCTACAAAGGATGCTATCAGGATTAAAACAGATAAACTAAAAAAGTCAGGTTCGTTATTGTTCCATTATAGATAAGATTATATATTAATTATTTATTGATTTGGTAATTTGACATATTTATGATGGAAACTATGATGTTCCGTGGTGCTTAGTGCTACCTAATAAATTTATTTTTTCTTTCTATTGTATTACAGAAATATAAAAATCAGCCATACCTATTGTTCACATTTTAATTACTGTAATTGTAATAAATAAACCTTAAATAATAGAGTGCTGATTCTATTCTATGGATTTGGGTCCTTACCAAATAGTTGAAATTTTCTTTAGTTCCTCAAACTACTCTCACAGCCAAGAAGACTAACTCGATCCTGAAAACCATTCTTTGACTCCATGAGTAGGATTTGATTATGGTATTATTTAGTAAAGTAACAAGTTTTGTAGTTTTTCCTGGCTACATGCACAGGTAGATACAAAGAACCTCTGATAATGAAAGCAGACTGGACATAAACAACCAAATAATCCAGAAAGACTTTTACAACCCTTATAATTTAGTAGATACCTTGACTATAAATAGTTATATTGTCTTATATCCTGATCTATTTGAGAATTTATATATTTATTTATTTATGGTACTGGGGTTTGAACTCAGGGCCTCATCCTTTATGGTCAGGCATTCCACCACTTGAGCCATTCCTCTAGCCCTCACTAACTTTTTTGCCCATGCTGGTTTGAACCTTGGTTCTCCTTCCTCTATCTCTGCCTCCTGAGTAGTTGGAGTTACAGGTAAGAATCATTGCACTCAGCCAAGAAAATCTTATTTTTGATGAACACATTTTCCTATATGTAATTTATTAGATTATTTTAATGTTTATAGAGTTTTTAGTGAACCACATAAAAAGAGAATAATGCACTGTTTTCCAAAATTGAGCTTATGTAACAGATACCACTTTTTTGAGGTAGTTCTTCAGAAAAGCTATAAAGATTGTTCTTTGATATATCAACAGTTCTAAATTTGTCTTCTACCTGACACCAAAAGTCAGATTTAATTGTACTGAGTATCTTTTAGGGCTGGTAGAGTGGTAGAGCGTCTGCCTTGCAAGTGTATGACCCTGAGTTCAAACCCTAGGATCATCACAAAGAAAACCCTTTTACCAGTACTTTTATCAGTACTTGGGTACATTTTAAATGCATGAGGTTGGGGATTGTAGTTCAGTGGTAGAGTGCTTTCCAATCATACCTAAGGCCGTGTATTTGAGGCCCAGCACTTAAAAAAATTCAGATAAATGTGAGCCTGCTTTCAGTGTTCCAAATTCTTGCCTTGAAGCAATTGCCTTCAAAACCAAGATGTTTTATGATAGAGCATATCAAATAGATAACATTTATCTTCAGATTTTCATCAGGTGTTCTTTACTTAAACATGTATATGGGAATTTGTCAAATGGTTATTGAAACTAGAATACATTTATATAAGTAGTAGGTGGTTTGGAGAAAAAGATACGAAACAAAGGTAAAACCAAAATATGTTTAGTCATAGTTACACAGTAAATATATTGACACAAACTTAAAGGTTGCCTTTCTTATGGATAAAGTGTATACTCCACATAAATCTTCCTGTGGGAGCAAAATCATTCACTTTTAAAAATCGCAATTGTGATCTCTTTAAACTGTATGCTTTGAGCATAAATGAGTTTTCTTTTTAAGTTTCCTTGTCTAATATTGATGCATTCTACTTTATCATGAATTCTCAGTTTACTTGTCCTCAAAGATACCAGAAGTTTTAAAGGCACTTATATATGAATAGATAAGCTAGTTGTGAGTATTGCCAACATTGAGAAACATTTATTTGTAGACTATAGAGTGCTTATGAGACACACCTTATATATAAAGAATGAATCTCTAAATAACCTGGCTACAGAGGGAGGAATTTTATTTCTTTCAGGTCAGTTGGTGCCTGGCACACTGCTTACCTTGTGGGAGTGTCTTAAAAATAATTTGTTAAATGACTTTGTGAGTGATGAAGCAGATAACATCTTAGACAATGATTAGGTTTTTTTAAGTTGAGTAATCCAATTCTGTGTTTGTTTTCCACCTGCCATTATTCAGGTCAATATGCAGTTAAGCCTCATTTATGACTCATAAAGAATTCTTTTCAGTCCAACACAAATAGAATTTTTAAAAAAAATTATATATGTAACAATAGTAAAAGCAATAAAATGATTACTTGCTGTATGCTAGACATTCCACTTAGCATTTTAGAATCATTGTCTGATTTTTTATTTTATTTTTTTTTAGCAGTACTGAGATTTGAACTCAGGTCCTCATGTTTGCTAGGCAGGCTCTCTACCTCATGAGCCACATGCCCAGGCATGCCTAGACCACGATCCTCCTACTTTATGCTTCCCACTGTAGTTTCAATGACAGGCATGTACCACTGCACCCAGATATGGGTTGAGATGGGGTCTGGCTAACTTTTGCCCTGGCTGTCCTCGAACTACAATGTTCCCTATCTCAGTCTCCCAAGTAGCTAGGAATATAGGCATAAGCCACTGGTGGCTGGCATGACTTTAAAAAAAATTTTTTTTAAGATAGGTTCTCACTATGTTACCCTCAACAATCTCAGACTCATGTGATCCTCATCTCCCAAACTAGCTGGAGGCGTACACTGTCTGATCTAACCATGACCACCACCGAATGCAGATTTACTCTAAACCACCAATTTAGAGGCAACGGACTGAGCCTCAGGAAGTTGGGTAATTTGCCCTGTGTCCCAAAACTAGGCAGTGGCCAACCCAGGGCTTAACTCCAGGTTCCCCTGACTTCACATCACTTTTCCTGTTGGTAGTAGGGAGAACCCAGTGCTTGGCATATGCTAGGTCATCACTGTGCCACTGAGCCATAGCCTAACCCTCAGAAAACCTTCAAAATGCAGATCTTCTAGATATTTTTTTAAGCCTTTATAGCCTTAAATCATTGAGATTTCCTGCTTTGGTTAATACATAATCTCCTACCAGAACATGCTTTTTTTTTTTTTTTACACTTTATTTTTGCAGTACTGGGGTTTGAACTCAGGGCCTACACCTTAAGCCAGCTCTTTTTTTTAGTTTCTTTTTTTTATTCATATGTGCATACAATGTTTAGGTCATTTCTCCCCCCTGCCCCCACCCCTTCCCTTACCACCTACTCCACCCCCTCCCTCTCCCCCGCCACCCCCTCATACCTGGCAGAAACTATTTTGCCCTTATCTCTAATTTTGTTGAAGAGAGAGCCGTGTGGGCGCTGGTGACTGGCAGCGGTGCGGGAGCCCTCCTGGTTTCTCCATTTAACGTGAAGTGGAGATGCTATGCCTAGGTTGGAGGTGTAGAGGAATCAAAGCTTTGCCTCTTCTCGGTGGTTTTTCCTATAAGGTGTCTCTCCAAGATTTTACTTTAGGAGGCTTGCTTTCTGCTTCCTCCCTCTAGCCGCCATCTTGGAATCCCCAGAACATGCCTTGATCACCTCTTGTAATCGCAAAATTAAGACTGTGAGCAAAATACCCCTTGAATCCTCTTCTCTATAATCTTTTCTTGGTAGACTTTTTCAAGGAAATTCAAGGGTTCCCACTAACCTGCCTATTGAATTCCAATGAGACAAGATACCACAGATTTAATATAGCCTATGAACACATGCACTAATGCTGAGAAAGCACCTGGTTCAGGACCTTGCACATTGGGAAAGCAACTGATAAATGTTTGATCTTTTGGGATTTTTTTGAGACAGGGTCTCACTCTGTAGCCCAGGCTGGCCTCAAAATGGTTTTCCCTGCCTCTGCCTCCTGAGTACTGGTATTACAGGGGTGTACCACCACACCTGGCTTAAATTTGTGTCCTTTCATTCATTTTTATGTTTCCAAAAATTTATTCGTTTAGCAAAAGAATTCATTTTCTAATTCTTTAGCTGAAAAAGGAAATTGTAGCAAATGATTTTGTTAAATATCATTTACAACTTAATTTTTAAAACCATTCCAAATAACTTTGGACCTTCTAACTTAAAGCATTCCATGTCTTACTAGTAATATTTACCTACTAAAATAGATTTATGGATTTTAGTGAAAGAAATAGGAATTTCACACAAACTGGCAGTGCAACTTGGAGAGACTGTTTTACATCTCATTAAAGTCTATATTAAGTCACTTTAGAGATGCTTGTATAATTTTTTTTTGCATGCCAGAGAGAAAGTACATTTTTCTAAATGAAGCAACAAAGCACACAACAGGTTTCCACCATCAGAATTCTTTGTGGCTCTCTGAGCTCCCAAGACCTACTTGCTACTCTTAGGCACTCCTCACCGCACAGTAAGGGCGGTCCCACAGAGGGCTTCATTGCTCTGGAAGAGGTCTGTTCCTCCAGGCTCCTCCTACCTGTTGGACCCACATCTTATATAACCTGCAAGTAGAGTTGGTTTTTAAAAAGAAGGAATCAGTCTCACTTTATCTAACTGAAACTGTGCGCCTATGTTTAATTCTGTGAGCGGTCACTGGGTGACATTCTAGAGGAGAATTATCCTTGGCATTGAAAAGATTTATGACTCCAGCTTGTGTATAGCGCTGCAAGGTCAGAAGTCACCTGTGAAAAGTTGTATTTAGCCAGTTAGACTTGTTTAAGTGAGGTTGCATAATGGCTATATTTTGTGGAGCCTTCTGGAATAGAAGTAGATCACCATTGTTTACTTTTTTTTGAGTTAGTTACTGACTTTTGTTATGATCCAACACCAAATTTGAAATGGAATTATTATTAAACCAAAGCTTGATTACAATACCAATCAGTACTTCCTCCTGATGTTTCTAAGAAGTTCAGCATCTCGTCATTTATAATTTCTTAAAGTATACGTCACTTTCCTTTTCAAGAATGTTTTTAGTTCAACATGTATCATTTCTAGTGAGTTTCCCTTAAATTTCTCAGTTCCGTATGAATCAGAATAACCATGAGATCCAAACGCTAAAGTCTACAGACTTCTTTGATTTTATATTCATTTTAAAA